TGCGTCGGTACAAGACATATGGGTGGATTCAACAGTGAATGGCGTAAGGCCTTGGGATGTCGAAGGGGTATTCGCAGGCTGAGGGGTGGATGTAGAGATAGAAGCCGCAAAGATGGAGGAAGGGTCAAGGAGATCGGACTCCAATAAGATAAGTTCAACCTCGGCACAAAGTGGATCATAGCGAAAAAGATCAATGACGTTCATTCAGTAAAATGTGACGTCCTCATATCGTATGAAATGAGCAAACTTACGAGGAAAAGTGAAAGTGATGTATGGATGGGACCCAGAAGAACGAGAATCCTGGGCAGGTGGGACGGGAAGGGTATCGCCCATGGTTCCAATGAACGGGACTCGATGGGTGTGATCACACTTCATTTTGAGAACGAGTCTCGGACACTCATTCGGCTTCTGTGCCACGGAACCGACAAAACCAAGGACTGTCAAGAATAAAGTCGTACTTAGTCTCCAGCACGTGAAAATATGCGGAGGAATGATAGCACCGAGGCGCCTGGGTACTATCTCGTGGTTGGATGGTGAGGGAAAAGTGGAAGCCAGGAACCGTCTGATCGAAGAAGTGTTGTTATCCCAGAGGTAGCTAGAGGAGCTTCCTCAACCACGTGAGGGTGAACGAGATTTCCCAGCGAGTCGGAGTTTCATAAAGCATGGTACACCCCCATAAATGTTCCCAAGCGGATAGGAATGATGGAGAGGGTGCGATCAGGATCGAAGAGCAGAGAAAGAAGACGACACAGGACGTTTACGTGTCTCGGGAATCGCTCCTGGCGAGCCTAAAAAATGCTCAAATCCAAAAAAGGTGAGAACATCATTGTGAATCTCCAAGTGAGAGCTACAGCGAGTCGTGCGAATGACGCGACGAGTCAAAAGTCTCAAGGGGGAAGGACTAGATGCAGCGGTCTGCGGTCGGGCTGACGGTGACCTCGACATACGGCGGGGCAAAGGGAACTGCGTCTGTCGTGTCCTGAGGATCCTCTGGTGGGGTAGCCAACGGGGCAAACCACGACTCGGTGGTCGAGAAGTCGACTACGTGCAAGGCCTCATCGATACACTGCATTGTGGCTAGCTGGATGAAACTGGTCGGGCGGGGTCGAAGGGGGACCGAGATGGACGGTGATGAGAAATGTCAGCATAATTCTGATCGACGGCGGTACGATATGGACACCGTGAGGTGTGTTCATCCTGGTGACAACGAAGGCAACCACGACGGGCCTCGAGGGCGGCGCGTTCCTCAAGGGATAAAGCTCCGCGAGGAGGGACGAAACCTTGCAGGAGGTCTATCTGAGGGATCGCGACCGTGTGGGTGTCAACCTGTGCATCCCGACTGCGTGCACGATTCATGGCGGAGAAAAAAAAAAAATAGGCGAGAAAGAGAAAAAAATTAGAGTGGGAGGTGGGAGGATGATTGGGTTGTAGATGGGGGAGGGAAGGGAAAAAAGGAGGTGGGAGAAAGAGAGAGAAAGTGATGAGAAGAGTGAAGAGTAAATGACATGAGTAGAAGAGATTAGTAAAAGATGGTGAGTGAGAGGGGGGAAGGAGAAAAAAAATGGTCGAAGATGATTGAAGAGGGAGGTAGGAAGGAGTAATGGTAGAGTCAGAAAGAATGACGAGATGGTGTAGGGGGAGAAAAAAGGAGGAGAGATAAACGGGAGAGAGAGGGGGGGGGGGAGTAGGTTAGCGAAGAGAGATGATACTAGACTTTCAATTGGCCAAAAGCAACAAGATCGCGAAAATCCATGGGATCTTAGCCTTCAAGATGCTGGCAGCCTCCTGCTGCAGCACAAAATAATAATAATGAAATAATCGAAGGCTGACTGAGATCTTAACCAGTCACCCTGATTGCACTGACACGCAACCCCCCTGGCTAGGGGGGTCTTCACTGCTGCCAAACTGTTGGTGCAGCAGTAGAAAAAATAATCATCAACCACCAACCACCCAGATTCCACAACAGTGCAGCCCCCTAGCCAAGGGGGTCTTCACGTTATTCAGCTAGCTGCCATGTGGCACTGCAGAAGGCCACGTGTGCAGGCAACAGCAGCCACGGCATGCTGGCGGGGGGGAAGGGGGGCGCAAAATAGCAGTCCACCCACCGTTGTCGTGCTGGCCGCTACTCGCATTTTGTCGACGGGGGGGAAAGGGGGAAGGGGGGAAGGGGGTGTAAATAGTTGGCGTAACACTCTTCAACATGAGTGTGCCGCACTATGGGGACAGAGTTTGATCAGTGTGTTAAGGGGCTGGCTACGCACACGCATGACTGGCAGTTGCCCTTCAAACCTTAGCAGCAGCATGCATCCCGGATACTGAGCAGGACTAGACTGGACTCAAACAGTATACAACCTTGTGGGGTCAGGCCACGACCTAGTCCCTCAGGCCGAGCAGGCAAATAGCCCGATAGGCCCTGGCGTACCAATTCAGTCACAGGCCTCTGTCTGAACGGGCTTGGGCACTGATACTTTGGCCCAACCTGAAGCTACAAGGGAAACATGAGGCAGGTGTGGCATACTTAGATCCCACACAGGCCCCTACAGGGCCCGACCAGTAGGACGAGGGGTTTTCGATAGATGTAGGGTCTGTGCTAAGGTCTGTTCTAGGGTCCGTCTTGTTTCAGTAGGTCGGTACCCGCAGGTTAGGCCCTGGTGCAGTTTTGGTGCCCTACCCTAGAACGGTCTGAACACTGTTTCGTTTGGTGCCAGACCAAGGGAAACGTAGGCCGTAAAGGCCCGGTGGACGCCAGGTCATTTTCAAGCCTTTTCGAATTCGAAGCGAATTCAAATTTGGGCGTGAGGTTAGGGGCCAGCCTTTGCAGTTTTTGCGCCAGACGCTGGCGCAGTTCAGCATTGGTTAAGGGAAGCCTCCCAATTAAACCAGCACTATATAGCTGGCAGCACTATATCTGGTCCACTTACAGGCATAGGAGGCATTGTTGGCGGCACTCTTCAAGTGGAGGTTAGGTTAGTCGACGACAGCAGTAGGGCCCAGAGCTAGTATTGCACAGCAGCAGCGCAGCCAGAGCGAGAGAGAAAGATGGACTTGACTGGGCTATGGCGGAGGGCAGGGGACTTACCCGAGAACTCACCTATCAACGCCAGCGCTCCCCCTTCGTCGTCCGTGTGTCCGTACTTGCATCAAGGCAACATCTTTCACAGGTTAGTAGACGGTATCCAGCCACAGAGAGAGAGAGAGAGAGATCTCCTTCTTCTTCTCCATCCTCCGGTCCATCGCTCCTCCTCTTCCCCTCCAACGCTCTGGCCTCTCCTCCTTCGCCAGACCATGAGAGAGAGAGAGAGAGATTTACGACATTGGGATTTAGTGATATTCGGATTCAGACTTAACCTTTGGACAGTGACATTGTGGGGGGCTATTTTTGGATCGGTGTCGACGACATTTTGAGTTGGCTCTCTCCCTTCTCCCCCCTTCGTCTCTTCTCCCTCCTCATCCGTGTATGCCCAGGGTCTGGCGCCTCGTCTGTGCATGTCAGCGCCAAGTCCCCTCGCACACTGTGGGATGTTCAGTCTGCATCATGACATTGATTGGGTCTGATTATTGGTATTTCAGTCTTCCACTGTGCTATCCTTACTGCATCTGTGAGAGGTCTGTTCTTGGTTCCGGTCTGCACGACATTGGCATGCGACACAGGCCAGGCAGCCAACCAGCCAGGCCCCTTCGCATATAGCAAAATGCCTCGCCGAGGTGAGAAAATTCAGGCACTTGAAGGTGCAAGCGGCAGCGCTGCTGTAGCGAGGGCTCGCGGCTACAAGCTTAGCGCTAACGAAAGTTCAGAGCGCGCACAGGCGTTCGGGTCGAGGGCGCTGCAAGAAGGCAGTGCCATAGTGGAACCCCCATAGCCGGGCTCCAGCTTGGATAGTCAGCGGTGTTGGGAAGACGTGGGTAAAGAAAACGAGGGAGACAGAGAGAGATGGAGACGATGATGTGAGAGCACGTACCTGGTCCTGGCGATGGCCTACAAGGTCAACATCTTCGTGTACTTCAGTTCTCGCTGCTGACATCAACAGGATGCATTGTCAATTCGTAGGCTGCTAGTAGCTGTGTGATTGTAGTCGTAGGCTGCTAGTAGCTATGTGATTGTAGTCTGGCCGCTGAGCACCAAGTAGGAGGAAGGACTCTGGGTACATATGTTGACGGTGGCGAGAGTATGCTATCATTGACATTCGGATTCAGTGCTTTGGTTCTCCGTTGGTGGAAAATCAGTGCATTGCTGCTTTCTGGACACTGTTGGACTTGCTGGCTTTCAATGTGATTTTGCACTCTAAATTTCTGTCATCGCTCATTTACCTTGCACAACGAGAACAACAATGGTAACAAGTACTAATAACCTAGGAAGATTGTCCTGCCTGGCCGGGCACCCGGGCGTGCAAAAAAAAAAAAAAAAAAGGACTTTTCTCAACTTTTCTGCGCTCTCCTCGACGACCCCAAATCCGGCCTCGTTTCTTCTTTTGAGAGTTGGCTGCCAAGGGGGGGAAAGGGGGGTATAAATTGGTTTTAAAGGGGTTTAAAGAGGGGTGCCTAACTGTGATTCTGTTATTTTCTTTTTTATCTATTCTGTGAGGAATTCGGATCCGACCCTCAGCCAAAAGTCATTTGTATTGCGCTGGGGCTGCCAGGAAACCTGCCCGGGGCTCATGCCCAGCCGGGCATTCAGGCGTGTACCCGGGTGTAAGTTGGGTGCCCGAGCGCCGGAAAAACAGCCTAGCTAATAACCAAAAATAAATCGGAATCCAAACTTTCACAGTGGAACAGACCCAAGTCAACGATTGCCTAGGCCTGTAGAATGCGTTAAAGATGTCTGGAGACATTTAGAAAAAAAAATTAAAAAATTGCAGCTCCCATAGTGCGCAGTTATATCCAATCATGCACGCCAATCTCCAGATCAAACCGTGTCAACAGTGATGCACACGCCAATTATTTGTGAGACACCGGGACGTAAACAGGGGAAATCAAAATAATCATTGAGCATTTCAACCATCCTTACCTGTGACAATGGCATTCGCTGCAAAGGGTCTGGGCTCATTGACTGACGTCATTGTGTGCTAGATCACCGCAAAGCACACGAAGGACAGCAGTGTTCTAGATCAGCGCAAAATACACACGAAGGACAGCCCGGCCTCTCATTGTGCGCTAGATCAGCGCAAGTACACAAATGACATCCCGGCGTATTTCCTTATTTGATGACGAGTATGGCCACTCCTCACGCTCACAAAGATGAAAACACCCTTCAAAGAAATTCCAGCAGGCCCAGTTAGGCCGAGGCAGCATTGCCATTCACCTACCCTCTTTTCTGTTTCTTTCCATCCCTCACCATTTCTTTCTTCATTTTCAAAAGGGAGATGGCCTTGAGATATCACCATCATCGAACTCACCGGCCCTAGGTAATTCAGAGTTGTGGTACTTCAGTCATCTGCTTCCAGTGGAGTTTGAACCCGAGTCTGCATTTCAACAGTTAACGGGTGTACCAACTGCACTAGGCCAGTTGGTGTCCCTCGCCATTTCTCCTGACAGGTTTATCCAATGATCTGTGGATGGCTCATGGTCATGGACTCGTGGCAAGGGTAGGGACAGCAAAATCAAGGCAGTCGGATCCATTCAGCATGATGTGACAAAGAGACGAGCCGACACTGACGGGGGACATGGTGAATGTTCCTTCATCCGACTGCCACATACATTACAGTGGCATGTTCTGCGATCCACATCCGTAACTGCAATAATGAAATGACATGAACTGGAAAAGGAGAAAGGTAGTGCATCCACACAGCAAGTGCTCCTCCGCTATTCTCACGCGGTCCCTGTGATAGTTGAACAACCACATATGAAATTGTCGATATCATCGACCAAGCGAAGATGAAACCCAACGCGATGATGTCGTCAGCTAATTGCCAGAGAAAAAGTGGAAAGGGGCAACCCATCTGACAGGCAGCACGGACACAGTAGAATGATGAGCTATGGAGGGAAGAAGGGAATGAGTTCAGGTGAAAGAGGGCAATGCAGGTGTTGCCCATTGACCATTCTCGGGGAAGATGCAGGAGTTTATCACCAGCCCACCCATCAATCAAGTTGTTAAGCCCAAACACAAGCGAACGAAAGATGGCTGGCTGCTCAGCTAGCTACGAGGCCGATGTACCCTTTGCCTCTTTCTCCTTCTCTGTCAGCTTCTTGTCTTTGTGTTGGATCATGCCCGTCTCCACAAGATGGGGGATCTCAGCAGCAAGCCAGGGGGCCAGGCCAAGGCAGAGTGCATGAGCAATTCCAAAATGAGGGCTGCACACAGACACAGACAATAAATGGACAGTCAAGATCACACCCCACACTAATCCAACAAACGGATGGTGTCCACTGATTCAGGAAGTAACACACACACACACACACACACACACACACACACAGCACCAAACAGAAAAATGCAAGGAAACTGAGCAATAGCAAGATGACAGAATCAGATTGCACAATCACATTGAAGGCCAGAAAGTCCCCCAGTGTCCCAAAAGTAGCATTGCACCAATAATACACCAATGGAGAATTCCCGAAAGTAGCATTGGACCAATAATACACCAATGGAGAATTGTAACACTGAAACCGAATGTCAATGAGAGCTTACTCTCGTCTTCACCAACATAAGAGTCCAGGCCCTTCCCCCTACTTGGCGCTCGGCGCCCAGACTACTCCCACACAGCTACTATCTGCCTAAGAATTGACAATGCAACTGTTGATGTCAGCAGCCACCAAAGTACATGAAGATGTCGCCCAAAGCAGACCATCGACAATAACAGGTATGAGCCCTCACATCATCATCCTCACCTCTCTCTCTCTCTCTCTCTTGTCTGTTCACCTTGTCTTCCCTCTGTACACCCGAAGACCAACCCTGCGCCTTGCTGTACTCCAAGCCCAGCCAGCTATGGAAGCTGGGCCATGGCGCTGCCCTCAGCAGCGCCCTTCTTCCCACACGACCGCATGTGCACAGCACCTTGCCCCTAGCTCTAGCGGCAGCACGCGAGCGTCCGCTCCAGCAGCGCTGCCGCAAACTGGCAAGTGCCTGAATGGCACTCCAGGCAGCGAGCAGGAAAGAGTCTGCCTGGCCTTCGAGCTAGATGGGCTGGGCCTGTGCCCAGATTCAATTCAATTCAATTCAATTCAATTCAATTCAATAATTGGAGAATTCAAGCGTACGAGCCAGCACCCGCATTTGTACTCGAGAAGACGCTTCGCGTCTGATCTATCACCAGAGTGGAGTCAAAGGCGCAACGGGAAGCAGAGGCCTCGTTTCAAAAAGGCGTCTTCCGGTAGGCCCCAGGTTGCTGGGCCTCTGCTGGTGCTGCTAGGCCTGCGTTACCGCGCTGATTGAGCGCGCGACCGGAGCTCAAATTTTGAGCTCCGCTCAATCCCTCACTCAAAAGCGCTTAAGGGAGCTTTGAGCGGGCACGGGAATATTTGTTTCCCCAGAAAATAAGGAGCAAAAAAATAAAAAAATACAGGGTTGTAGATACTTTTGAGATCTACAACCCTATGTTTTTTATTTTATTTTTTGAACTTTTCCTTTAATATTAAAAAACAACAACAACATAAAAACGAGAAAAAAAGACACTCAGACCCCACCCATGCCGGGCCTGCCCACACACACACACGTGAACACACACGCGCGCACACACACACACACACACACACATACATAGACACACACACACACACACACACACAGAGAGTCACCACCTTCCCCACCCAGCCCCCCCCCCAAAAAAAAATCACCCGACCACCCTTTTTTTTTTTATCTGCGCAACCGCCCCCACGACATCCCCTGCCTTCGTGCAACCCCATGGCGCGTGTGCGCTCTTTTTTTGATGACCGCGCGGGCCTCAAAACACTTTGAGCGCGTTTGAGCACAGCAGGGGCGCGCGGTTAAGCGCGCGCTCACGCACGCTCAAACGGTTTCATAGTGCTGGGGCTCGTTCAGTTACTCCTCCCAACTGTCTGTGTATACTGCTGTGAATGTGGCACTCCTCCCAACTGTCTGTGTATACTGCTGCGAATGTGGCACAGGGCCTGCACTTCAGAAAAGGCCTAGAAGGCCATGGAAAATCTTTGCTGCTCGGGTCCTGGGTTCCCTCAACCAACTGACGCGACACGACTGCCTGAAACCCCAAATACGGAATTGACAGCATTGGGCCTCTCGTGATTTGTTAGGCCCGCCTTCACTTAGGGCGGGCACACTTGCATCATGGGGCCCCTTAGGCTTTCCGAGAAGCCTTATCCTCGCATTCCCTTCTCCTTTACTTTGATAGTCCTCTTAGAAGTTCCTTAATCTGCAGGCAACTTTCCCTCGAGTGCTCTTTCGTAGCCTGCAATCACTTCGGGCGCTGTTCACTGGAGTTCTTCTCTAGTAAACCACCAATCTTCGCTGGGATCAATATGGTGTCTGAATCTGACACGATACTCCATCCTTGGCTTTGGAGGTTGGCTTTGGCGGTCGGCCTCTGCCGGGAGGTTTAGGCACTGGCATCACCCGATGCTCCACAATTTCATCGATGTCGACTTCGCCATCCATGGTTGGGGTTCACATTGATCGTCTGGACGGAAACTGTGCAGTTTCTGCGAAAGGTGCCAGCTTGGAGGCGTGAAATACTAGGTGTTTACGTAGGTGGGCAGGGATGCTAATGACATAGGAAGGTCCATCTATCTGATCCCCCACTATGTCTAGGACCTCCCAGGGACCAAAGTACTGAAGCATTATTTTTTGGGAAATTCCCAACTCCTCACCTAGTTCAGATGATTTTAACCCAGACTTTGTCCTCTACGTGAAAGTTAGAAGGCCGTCTATGTTTGTTCTCACATGCGATCATAGCATCCTGAGACTTCTAATGTGTTGAAAGGCCTGCTGTAGCATACTTGACAGCAAATTCTATGCTGCCAGGTGCTGCAGTTGGCTGATCCTCAGGTAGTAGGAAATCAAGGGCGGATTTGGGCTTCCAACCAAGATGCAGTTGGTTGGGAGTCGTGCCATTAGTGCTGTGCACAGCGTTGTCGTACAGGCTGGCGATGAGAGGTAATTTTTCCTCCCAGTCATCCTGGCTTGGCTTGATGTAATGCCGAAGCAGGTGCTGCACTACTCGGTTCATCTGTTCCGCCTGGCCATTTGACTCAGGGTGATTCCCTGATGTCATTTGCAGTCGGGTGCCCATCTGTTGACCCATACTCTGCCACAGTTCGCTGGTGAAGCAAACGCCCCTGTCACTAATGATGGACTTGGGCAATCCAAAGTCCCGTACTCAGTTATCCATAAACAGCTTGATGACATAGTCGGTCTTTGCTGTTTCCGGCATGGCGATCAGTCTAGCGTATTTGGTAAATCGGTCCACTATGACAAAGATGTGTCTTCTTGCTGGTCACAAGAGCATCCACGAAGTCAATGGACACACTTCGCCCAGGACCATCAGGAATAGGCAAGGGCTTGATAAGCCCAAGCGGAGGCTTAGTCCTAGGTTTGTCCCGTTGGCAAACCTGGCAAGTCTTTCTTCACATCTTGCATCATAGAAGGCCACCAGAATCTTTGCACTAGGTTAGCTGAAGTCTTCTTATAACAAAAATCCATCATGACATTCTCCTAGAAACAAACTACGCAAAGACTCCCTATCCGGCACACACAGTCGTTTATTCCTATGCTTCTCAAGAAACGGCAAGCCATTGACTACCGTAAATTCGTCAGAAGTGACTTTGTCCTTAGCTTCTAACTTACGGATGATCTCTGGCGTTACTGTATCTTCCCGATAGGCTTCCACCAAAGATTGAGCTACATCGTCACATATATCAAACTCAGTTATTAGAGTGCCTAGATAATCTGCCCTTCGCGATAGTGCATCAGCCAACTTATTGTATTCTCCCTTTAGAGGGTCGAGCTTGAAGTCACACATGTCTATGACTTCAATCCACCTCTTCAAGGCGTCCAAGAGTACAGGCTGTGTCTTGATCCAACGCAACGTCTCATGGTCACATGCCACGTAGAATAATCTGCCTAAGAGGTAGTGCCTCCAATGGACTAACGCTCTATAGAGGGCATAGAGCTCGCGCTCGTACGTGGACTTAGCTAGTTTTTGAGATGGCATCTTTTTGCTCATGTACTTGATGAGCCTCAACTTTTTCCCCTCCTTTTGCACTAGGACCATGCCTATGCCATATTGGCTGGTGTCTATGGTCACAACAAGGGCTGCTCAGGATCTGAAAGTTTGAGGACTTCATAGTGTGTCAGGGCACACTTCAATTTCTTGAAGGCTGCCTCACACTCTTTCGTCCACTCCTAAGGGGTGTTAAAGCGAGTTAGGTAGGTTAAAACACCAGTACCTCCTAAAAGTGCTCCGCGTTAACAGCTAGCCAAAAATGGAAATCGCGCCGTTTCCACTTGGCTGAATAGGGCCTACCGGCCCAGGCCCCTTCATCCCAAAAGCCACGCCCGTTAATGAGGAGCACTTTTAGGAGGTAATGGTGGTTTAACGAGGAAGCTACATTACTACAGTTTTTGACAAACGGACGATAGTAGCCAGTCATCCCCCAAAACGACCGGACCTCGGTAACAGTCTGCGGTCTGGGCCAGTCACGTATGCTGGCCACTTTGGCATCGTCTGGCCTCAACCCATCCACAAAAATCTCATGACCCAGGTATAAGATTTTGGTGCAATCGAGCTTACATTTCTCCAAGTCAACTTTGTACTGGTGTCGCCGAAGGAGACCTAACACTAAAATTAGATGCTCGGTGTGTTGCTCTACAGTCCTACCAAAGATCAGGATATCGTTGAGGTACACGACGATAAACTTGTCTAAGTAGTCATGAAAGATCTTGTTCATCGCTTGCTGGAATGTTCCAAGATCATTGCATAGAGCACAAGGGCATCACCACAAACTCGTACAGAACGTGCATGATCTGAAAGGCGTTTTTGTCCTCGTCCTCAGGTCTAATAGCAATCTGATGGTATCCGGACTTCAAATCTATTTTTGTGAAGTACCGGCATCCCCGCACTCGATCCAGGAGATCGTCAATGCGGGGTAGGGGCTCCACATTTTTAACGGTGATGGCATTGAGGCCCCCATAACCAATGCACATCCTTAAGGTGCCCCCCTTCTTTGGAACAAATAGGACTAGTGCACCGTAAGGGAAGGTACTAGGCTGAATCCATCCCTTCTCTCTAAGCTCTTTAAGCTAGCGGCGGAGCTCATCTAACTCAGCAGGAGACATCCTATAGATTCGTCCTCTACCAGGGGCGACTTCTATCGCGTGG